ACATCCAGAAAAACACAATACAAAAATGTAATTCGTGTGACAATTCTCAACTCGGTGATAATGACTTCAGTGAAGATTTTATGGAGGAAATGTATGTGTGAATTTTTTTAATAGGAAAGACATACCTACGGTATTAATTAATGTTAATAAAAATTGTGTTTTAAAAACTAAATCCTGATCATCTTATTTGAAAATAAAGGGCAGAGAGACTTCAGAAACTTGCTGTATTTTGATCTATGCAGTTAAAACACTGGCAATAATAAACTTTGCTTTAAAAATGGTAATAGAAGAAGAAATTGAGCTTTGTGATGTTTGGCTTGTAATAATTTGAATAATTCCAAAGAAAAATAAGTTACCCATTTTTTTCGGGACAATTTTGGAGGAAAAGCACAAAACAAATGCCATTTATCCTATTGATTTCTAAAATAAATCACGAGAAAATAGAACTTAATAAATGGCATCAATACAAAACAGATAAATTGAAACAAAACTTTATAGCAGCAGGTCAAGAACTAAAGTCACAGGTAATAACATTTTGTGAAATTAGAAAGTACAGGAGCTGATCCAAATAGTAAGAGTTTACCATGTGCCTATTATAAATCTAATGACATGCTTGAAATTATGTAGGCCAACCTAAATTTTCAGGATTCAGTATTTTTCTAGAAACACATTTTATATGTGAAAAGGACACAAATGGATATTCCTTTTAAATTATAGTAGCATAATCAGATAATATGTCAACTTTACCAGCCAAAGCCCAGAGTACAATTTTATAATCCATGTTTGAAAGTAGCTGCTTATATACAAGCTGACATTTAAAAACTATACATTTTTTGTGAAGAGTTTATAAATAATAGAATATTAACTTAAATTTCTAATGTTATTAGCAAAAAATTGAATTAAAAAGAATGCATTGATAAAATAATGAACCCCTTATACTCTAATTCAGAACAAGCTGTTCTAATTTTTACCTCTAATTCATATCTGTTGTAGCTTAAAATTTAGCAAAGTTTTCAAGTCAAAAAATAATCCAGTTTCCATGTATGTATTTCTTTATATAGAAACTAATTTTTTTAATTATAAAATAAATTATAAAAGGTTTCTTGTAGAAAACTTGAAGACAAAAATGAATGAAAAAGAAAAAGATCCACTACATAGAGATAATTACTGTTTTAATGTGTGGCATCTTTTTGTTTCCCTGACAGTTTTGGATATTAATATATATTACAGTCATTCATAGACACACATAGAATATTCTTCATCAGCGAGGCTATTTTATTTCAGGTATTATTAATTCCCTCTCTCTCTCCCTCCCTCCCTTTCTTTCTGCTTTAATATTGTAATACTCTGTCTTGCTGTATGAAACCAACTCACCCTGGATTTTATGTGTAAATGAAATATTTCTTTGTTTTTTTAATACATGTAATCATCTTGCTACTTCTCAGTATGGAAGCTCAGTTCTTGCAAAGCAAGGTGTCTTATCCACTGTCCCTCCAATGTATCAGTCCCATTTCTTACTTCAGACAAACTCAACACGTGGCATGCCTTTACCCACCAAATCAGTGTTCTGTGATCATATTTATGGTCACAACACGTGGGCATGAATCTGTGATATAATGTTTTTGAGTCCTCGGGAAAGCTACTGCATTTCCTTGGACAGTGGTTAATAGTAGTTAACATACAAGCTTGCTATGATCATGTAAAAGAGACAGCCAGTGTGGAANATTTATTAGATTGTCCCAAAGTCTGAATTATATATTTCTCCTATATACTCACCTATACTTTTGATCTATGCTCATTAAAAAATAATGTATTTGCAAACTTAAATTTCCTGGGGGAATTTCTTGCCAGTTAAAAAGAGGAAGCATCAAAATGTGATGGTTAGGGGCTGCCAGGTGCCTCAGTTGGTTAAAGCACACACTCTTAGCAACAAGGTTGCCAGTTCGATTCCCACATGGGATAGTAGGCTGTGTCCCCTGCAACTAGAGTGAAAACAGCGATTGGACTTGGAGCTGAGCTGTGCCCTACACAACTAGATTGAAGAACAATGACTTGGAGCTGATTTTGAGCTGGTGGGTCCTGGAAAAAACACACTGTTATCCAATTAAGAAAAAAAAAATGATGGTTAAGGCAGTGGACACTGAAGTCAGGCTGACCACTTGGGTTCCAATTCTGGTTCTCTCGCTTCTGAGCTGTGTGATCTTTGGCAAGTCACATAAACGCTCATTTAATCTCATCTCTAAAACTGCAATATCCATTTCATTGGCTCGTGATGAGGTCTGATTATATCCTAAGAATAGACAGAAATTATCAACAGTATATGGATCTTTGAAAGTAAAAGTTAATTATGCAAATATAAATAAAATTTATATTCATCAACCATTGTTAATTGTTCACCATTGGTCTCTAGCAAATATCTCAAAACTGTGAGATGCTAAAAGCGACCATCTATAATAATTTTTGGAGAAAAAAGTGCAAAGTCTGAAAACATAGACTAGCCAGTTATAGAAAGCCATTGAAG